CATTGCAGAATAACGTTCGAAGTCATGCTTGCACACTCATGCAGCCATTGTGTGAAGACTCTCAACAACTTTCACTCTAATGGTAGGTAACCTTTCCCATGATGACTCTCACTTTAACAATAACTAGTCATTTTCATGATGCTTCTCACTATATTTTAATTAGCCTTTTCCATGAATAATTAGACTTTGAAATGTGGTAGAAAATTCTAATACTTTTTTTTTATGTACTTAGCCAATATGTCATAAGATTCATAATAATAAAAAATAAAGTCAAAAGCCTTAAAAGATTGTTGAATTGCATTAAACCAAGCTGTTTCACATTTAGAACCATAATCTGGAGACCAGATATAGCCAAGTGAGTGATTTTTAAACAATGGTCAAACGGTCGGACCATGAAAACCAGTAGAAATTCTAGGTTATAATGGCTTGATATGCATATATTTGCCTTGATTTGGTTGCTGGTCATAAAAGTTAAATGAGAATGTGATTATATCATATAAAGTTTATCTTTACCGTCATCGTGCTCTTACATTGGTTGGCATTAAAATGTGAATGTTTGTAAGGATCCCGAGACGTTACATACGATGTGAAGCTGCCTTGTAAAGAAAGAAAAACGATATGCAGCGGTGTCAAACCTTGGATTCAGATTGACCCGAACCATTTCACGCACGCCTGCCGAGTGCCGACACCCATAAAACAAGAGAGACGATCTTTTTTTGGTTTTTAGAAAGGAAGGGCAGAGTGTTTTGAGAACTACCATCATACTTGACGGTCCAAAATTGTTGTGAGATGAATGATTCTCCAACTTGTGTCAAAAAGGGTCCATTTCGGGGTTACGCTTGCGCAAGCACACGGGATTTTGGAGTTGTCACATCTTGTCCTTTAGTGTAGTGATGGTTGATGGATGAAAGACCTCTTCGACGCTCATTTCCGTGATGAAACTATTTTTGTTCCGAATTCACATCTGCGCCTCACACCAACTTCACAGCCCGATCATCTCCTATTATTCATGGAAAGATGTTTCTAATATACGGCTGAAACACTGTGAGGTTGGTGTGAGGTGCACTACTATTTAAGTAGAAAATCCAAATTATTTCGTGACATCGATATCTACCTTTGGAATATCGGTTTTATCAGAATAAACATCTGCGCTCCGCCTCACAGAAGACGTCCTACCAGTGCCCCACAGCACATTCCAAATCCCAACCGTGTATTGGGCATTTGTGGGATGCCCTCGTGGGGCGCATGTGTAAACTCCAAAATATGTAGAGTGCTATTCATACGTATCACACTAATAGAGTACCGCAGTGTCAGTGTCATTGAAAGTTTTATGCCATAGTTCATGTTTTGTCGCCTTTATCCATCGCCCCAACTCTGCTGATAATAGACATTTAGAAGAAAAAAAAAAAAAAACTCCATACGTAATGGGTATATTTATCATTGCGTTACATACCCGTTTTTTACCATAATCTAGTTTATGTGAAACCCACTTTGACGTCCGTTAATATTTTTTTACACACGACATTTATACATGATCAGATGCGCTTATATGGAATCCAGTGATTAAATGTTTAAGAAATTGTACTGCAGGACGCACTGTGTAGGAGAGATCTTGTATACGTGTAATAGACAATAATAAAGAAATCTTACTTGGCATTTGTGCCAATTCTATTTCTTCCCAATTCCTGATTCTTTTATCAGGTACAAACGCAACGTCTACACCAAACATAACTATTATCTCTTGTATATATTGTTTGGGAGTCAATTAATTTCATCGAAACATAATAATACATGTAGGTTCTCATTTATTTTTCATGTTTGCCAGGCTTTGGAAGGGTATTTTTGTTGTTTCGTAGTGCTGCTGCAATCATCCCTCGGTCCCTTGACTACAGGTTTCAGTATTTTACCCAGCTCATTGATCATTGATGAATCAGCCGTGGCATAAGTGGGTGGTGGCAGTGCTTGCCTTTTGATCCAGCAAATGGCCCTCGGTGTCAAATCCATTTTGGGGTTATTCATGCATATCTCTGGTCTAACTGGGTTTCAGAGCTGGGCCGATTCAAATCGATCTAACTAGCTAGCCCAATTCATTCTTTCTTGGTTTTTGTTTGCCACATCTCAAGTCACAAGGGAAATCGGTAAACAAGAAGAGCATGGCCTGTGAGAGCTTTATAAGGAAATGCTCCTCCTAAAAGCTTAACCTGTCAAGAGAGCCCCCTGGATAGTATTATTTAATGCCCTTTCATGTGAAAGTCCATGGGAGTTGAAGTGTGAACAAATTAATACAGCCATACCCATATCTTATGCTAAAATTTAATTATTTATATATAATAGTGGTGGTGAGGCATTTGGTGTTGCTAAAGGTTAACCAAATATTGGGCAGTTTTTTTGAAACTGAATTAGTCTTTCATTTTTTGTAAAATACTGAATCAAAAATGAACGGAATCAATCGGTTGAACGATTTGGTTTTGACCAATTCGGTTCTTTAGTTTATCAGTTTCGTTATATTTATAATATTATATTATAAATAAATATATAAATATAATACGTATAATACATACATATATATATATATAATTGATTCAGTTAACTTGATTTGAATCTTTTTGGTTTTTGATAAATGTTACCATATCAAATAACTATTGAACCTAAAAACTTAAACCGGAAAAACTCCGAATGACCTTTATTCTCCAACAAGTTGTACATAATCCAATCTGGCAACGTTTGTCGTTTTAGCTCATATTTCATGACCACGAATCCTCTCAGTCTGAGATTTGGGCTTAAATAGTGGACAGATTGGCAAACTTGCTCTCTCAAGCAACCTCTCAATTACGGTCCGGAAAATAATGTAGATTGATCTACAAGTTGTTCTAATCGTTTTTTTTTTTCCCTTGTAATAAATAGCGCACAGCGCACTGGAGGCTTAATTTTGGCAGAGTAGTTGTTAGAGCAGTCTTATATGATGATGTTCAGCCCCCCTCACATCCCAGTCACGTATAGATGGAAACACCTCTCGATGATGTCTTATATTTATCACCGCCGAGATATTCTCAATACGTTGTGTGGCGCTTGATGTGAGATCCTCTTCTATCTATTTTCTCCAGTTCATCTACTGTCACAATATATAATAGCTATAATCCCTTTCTAATGACAAACAAAAGTTGGTGGAGCAAACCCTAATCCCTTTCCAATAACAGAAGTTAGTGGGGGCAACCTGCTGGTTAACCAATAACAAACCAGCAGCTGGTGAGAGTAGTTTCGGATTGAATCTCAAGTCTCAACCAGCACGGCTCCTCTCCTGTAATGTAATCTATACTGGTCGAAACAAATTAAGTACAATATCTGCAGCCCAAAGCCGGCCCAACCGCCAAAAACCCAAATGGAACTTTTGCTATGTGACTGTGAGAGAGAGACTCAGATCTGAAATATTTTTTAATTAATTAATTTCTCTTTTATTTCTGGACCATGAGCAGACATCTATATTTATGGCGTTGAACCAAATGTTGGAAGATGGAACCAATTCATTCCATTTCCGGTTTCCAAAAGATCACATCTCATGCCGTGATGAGCAGATAGATCTCAGCAATTATTAATTATTATGGTTGAACTTTTAGCAAAAAAGGAAGAATTATCGCTGAACACGTGGGGACAAATGTAGACCCACATTTGTCGGGCCCCACCTGCTAAAAAGGATTTTATGAAGCGAAATTTGACCATCTGATTTCAATTTATTTCTTTCTCTGCACGATTGGGCTGTTTCCTCCTTTTGCCCTTTTGTTTTTATCCTGTTCCTCACTCGTTATCAGTAATATCACCAATGGAATTTGGATGGTTACAGTGGCGTGTATTTTAAACCGGACTTCGATAACGGTCGCTGCCTGCCGAGCGCTGCAGTGAACATGTTCTACACTACAGGCGTTGGTTCGTCGTTCCCGGTCCAAGTCTAAATTCTAATCAAAAGCGTTGTAGAGATCCTTGCATGTGAGCCACGTACATTGTGAGAATAAACAACAGACACGTGGGGTCAATCTCAGTCTCAGATACCGCGTCCCCCGTATAAAATAATAATGGACGACCCACAATAAAAACCATAAAAATAAAATTCAAATCCATGCAAAAAAGCTTCCCAAAGCAACATAGGGTCCACTACCATCAAGAAAGGGAAACCGCCTTGAGTTCATTCACGTAACCCACTCGATTGGCCACTCCCAACCCAAGTCCCAGCAATGAGCAATCCCTCCCAAGTGGCCAAGTCCCAACCCAATCGGCCAATCCTATTCCTATTCGGCCAGTCCAGCTCCAGAGTCGCACCTCACGCGGTCTACAATAAAAGCTTAGGGAACAAGTCATCTATTCCTCTTAAAAATGGGGGGGCTCACTCTCGCTCACAGCTCACAGGGAATAAAGCCTCCCGCCACAGCTGATGCAGTCGTAAGCGTGACGCCACTCCACGCAATGGGAACAAATGGAGAAGTAAAGCTATGAGAGAAAAGAGGAGAGGAGAGAAGAAACGTCTAATGCTGGTTTCCGCGTAGACGGATAGATGTGCCTGAAAAGTACTCCCCTTAACCTAATTTTTATTGCATACGGATGTGGAATAGGAGGAGGTATAGATGGGAAGCCCACGCCAACGGTCCAAGTCCAACACATAAAACAATAACACAAATCAAACTCACCTAAGCTAGCTGCTCCATTTCCATTGCATTCAATCACAGTGGGCGCCTGCATATCTGCACCCATAGTCCCATCATCCCATGCTTTGAAACGATCTGGGACCCACTATACCCTACTCGGAGTCGGTGCATGAGAGCATCATCAGGTAGTTTTCCGCCATTGATCGTCTCTTAGCTGGGACCCGCTCATTCTCCGGTTCTGATCCCCTGTGCTTGGAACTCATGGTGTGATAAATCATGGATTACAATTTACAACCTCCCGGTCCGGGTCCCACCCATTTCTGATTTCTCAATCAATCGATATCGCAAATCTGAACAAAAACAAACGCTCCCTTTGACACAAGTTTGACGATCGCCCTCTATTCACACCAACCTCTCGCATCTTCCCGTCTCTCTCTCTCTCTCTCTCTCCCGTGTCCGAGTCCTCTATTTGGGAACCGGACGGGACGATATTTCCTTATTCTCACTCAGTCCTCACATATACAGCTTTTCTCTCCTCCTCCGCACCCTCTCCCCCCTATGTGTCATGGAGGGACATCACCTAATAACTGTTAACGTCGACACAGCCGATCGGTTCCCTCAATGGAGCCTTCAGGAGACCAAAGAGTTCTTATCGATCCGAGCGGAACTGGATCGAACTTTCATGGAGACCAAACGTAACAAGCTCCTCTGGGAGGTCGTCTCAACCAAGTTGAAGGAGAAGGGCTACAATCGAAGTGCAGATCAGTGCAAGTGCAAGTGGAAGAACCTTGTTACCCGGTACAAGGTAGCGAATGCTTCGTCTCCCATCGATCATCTCTCTCCTTACTGTTTTTTCTTTCTTATCCATCTGGGTTTGTGTTGTTCAGGGTTGCGAAACTATTGAGCCCGAGTCCATGAGACAGCAATTCCCATTTTACAACGAGCTACAAGCAATCTTCACGGCCAGGATGCAGAGGATGCTATGGCAAGAAGCCGAAGGTGTAGTCAGTAGTACTAATTTAAAGAAGAAAACGGGGCGATTATCATCCGATGACGACGACGATGAAAGCTACGAGGACAAGGATAGTGGTAGGAAGAAGAAAAAGAGTAGGAGCAATAACAGTACCGGTACGGGTAGCAGTAGCAGTGCTAACAATAATTTACAAGAGATACTGGAGGAATTCATGAGGCAACAACTGCAGATGGAGGTGCAATGGCGAGAGGCGGTGGAGGCGAGGGAAGAGCAGAGAAGATTGAAGGAGATGGAATGGAGAGAAGCGATGGAAGCCTTGGAGAAAGAACGGTTGTTGATGGATAGAAGGTGGAGGGAGATAGAGGAACAAAGAAGGCTTCGAGAGGAAGCCAGGGCTGAGAAAAGGGACGCCCTCATTACAGCTCTTCTGAACAAGTTAAGGCGTGAAGACATGTAAGTTAATTTTGCAGGCAAGAGCTGCTGCAGCGCTAGCTGCTCTTGTTTTCCTTGTTTCGAAGAGAAGCTCTGAGAGGTTTGTCTTTGGAACTCTCCTTTTTCTCTCAGTTTGTAGATGAGACTATTATGTTGTTCTTAATTAATCTTTTATGTTCGCCATTTTCTCTCATGTTTTCCCCCTTCTTCATCCCCCACTAATGTTTTCATTTTTTCATTGCGTATAAAGTAGGCTAAGTAGTGAACATTTTTATATTGTTTATCACCATTGAAAGAACACAAACCCACTTTAATTTCTTCTTTAATTTATATATAAATATCAACCGGGAAAGCTTCAAGATCTAGTTGTGGCTGTGGAAAGAAAACGAAAATGAAACATAGATCACAGATCTAAAGTAAGGAATAAAGTTTTACTTTTGTTGATCCAATTCAATGTTTACATGATGAGAATCAGACTATATATTTGTTGGGAATAGTCACTTTAGTGGGATGAACAGACTGCTCTTTGTTAATGGTTCATATAAACAGATTATAAACACTAGTAGAGTCTAGAGATTACCACAATATCGTACTTATCATCTTCACTACTATCTCGAATTAATTCTTTGTTACGATAACTAATAAAGATATCCTTTTAGTTAGCTGCTTTGGTAAATAAACCTAGCTTGAAAGGCGTAATTAGGGTTGCTATATTTTACTCAGCAAATTAATGTCTTCGGTTTGATGAGCCTCATTGAATTGGGCCATGTCAGCCTGCATGTTGGGTTGGGTGCAAGTGAGCTTTTCATTATTGCTGTTTTGTTTGTCTAGAATGTACTTGAGACCATAGTACTCCAGATCGTGTTCCCTTTGCCAATGGCTTTCTCAGCTCTACAAAGATCCTATAGCTATGGCAGTATGGCATGGTCAACTGCCTCATCAGGAACGCTTTATATATCCAACCCTTTAGAAATTACAAATTAGAATCCGGCGTAAAATTTGTTTTTTACGCCTTCAGTGCCTAAAATTTTGCCTCTTGCTGTAAATCAAATGCCCCTAGTACTATACTAATTCTGAGTCACAATAATCAAATATGTTTTTTCAAGTGATCATTCACATGTATCCATGGTGAAGTAGGTGTGGCTTTGTTAGGTTTTCGGAGTGGGGGGTGTATCAAGAAAGTTCATCAAACCTAGAAGCTAAGCAACATTGTCACTGGAATTTTTCTACAATTAATGAACAATGACAATCCATAGGATAGGAAGTAGTACTGGCATAGCAGAAGCATGAGAAGATGGGAAATAAAGCTAACTTAGTTGTAAGTACTGATACATCAAGGAAATATGAAACAACAAGCAAAAGCTTTGATAGATGTAATGGCTCTAGAAAACCAAGCCAAGAGGGTTTTTCTACGTTCACACATATATACCTCTTATAGTGTCAGTCTCTTACTTATAACACGAATATCGATAAATGAACGTACCTATAGACTTGTCAACGTGTACTTGAATATTCTTTCATCTTCCCAAAGTATAAAAAACAGAAAACGATTAATTCCATCAAACGCTGACTATAAAAAAAAAAAAAAAAAAAAATCTGAATTGACACTTAACTTAACAGAGACCTGCAGACAAATCAAAATACGAAATTCCATCAAACCCTCACTTTCATTATATTAAAAAAATCTGATGATACATTTAAACAGAGACCTGCAGATCTATTGAGCATAATATATACTTAACCTGATTTTACACGAATCCTATAAAACTCAAATTTATGCTGTGCGAGTAGACATATTATTAATTTGAACATGACTGTACTATTTCCAGCAAAAAGTTGATGCGTCATGTGAGCAATTAAGTTGATGGAGATAAACCTTTTTGGTAGTTGATGGCAATGGCTTAGCATTAATGATCAGTGCTAAAGCTAAAGACTAAATTTCTTAATCTTGAATACTGTCCACTAATGATAGGAATCAGTGTTAATTGTTGATCCTCTAGCTTGGAAACTTTGGCCATTAACAATATTAATCAGGTTGGATGAGTTTATTTCATTTTTTAGACTTAATTAATGGCATTTAATTCTGAAAATTATGGGTCCTTTACATCTGTTTAACTAGTAATAACTTATGATATAGGACTATAAAGACTTTCAAACATGAATTGAAGTTTGGATTCTGTAAGTAATCAATTTGACAAAGCTATAGAGGTGGATAAGTATTGTCCGAAATTGGTGAACAATTACATGTTAATAAACTCATCATGTTAAATAGACATCACCAAAATTCATACTCCAGATTGAAAAGGGTGTCTTTTTCCATATGGTTAAACTACACTTGGGTAACAAAACATGAACATTTGAGGAATGACTGAAGCTGGAGTCAGAGTCTTCACTGACATGGGTGGATCACATTAAGACTAGTTTAGGAATTTCTTTTGTGCTGCATTCTAGTGCGTTAAGTTGATGACAATTTGTAAAAGTTGGAGGGAAATTCCAAATTTCATAGTTCATCAATCAAAACCTTCATTGCATGGTTCATAACTCAAAGGTTTTTTTTTTTTTTCTGAATAAGTGATACATACTTGATCACTAATAAATATACATTAGCTTTTGAAGCTTAGCAGTTGACTGAGTTGAAGTCAGTTTCTTAGTAGACCTACTAAGTACATTTTCTTTCACACTTCTTGTTTTATTTTTAGTGATCTTGTCCACCGACATTATTATCAACCAAGCCAAGTCAACTTCGAATGCTGAACAACCTATTGATTCGTACTTAACACTTTGGTTAGATTTAAGTTTCATTAGAAGATAAAACAATATATTCACGTAATAGACCACCATCTCTCTCTCTCTCTACCAGGACAATCAGCAGTCATAAGTCTTAACTCTTGTTTATTACTGAATTAGTAGTTTTTAAGCATTATTTTTCGGTTGTATTTAGTACTATTGATGTTAAAATACAAATTGGTGATGTATTGTCACATCATATGTGAGAATTACTTGAGCTAGAATGATTAAACTTGGAGCAAGAAGCCTCATTATGATACTTTTAGAAATAGCCTCTGCATTTTTAAGATATGCCTATTTCAACGGTGCCAATTTATATTGATCAACCCAAAATGTTTCTAAATTGAAACAACAATGGTACCAAATACAACCTTGGGCACCTAAATTTTTTGGTTGCATTTGGATTTAAGCAAAAGAAAATGCAAAGTCCTTAATCCAGATTAGATAATCAGACCAATTTGACTTTGGTAAACATTAACATATTTTCTGATTTTAGTTTTAGAACAAAAAAGTCCATTTTCTAATAATTTATGAGAAATCACTTCTTGAAATCTACTTAGAATCCACAATTTAATGAGTCTCACTTTAAATATGATAAAATTGGATTCAATGTATATTTTCATGCCCTAAGTTGAAGCATGCTTACACCCAATTCGCTAACTACCCTTTTTTCAGTTTTTTTTTTTATTCTTTTTTTTTAATTTGGCAACTACCCTTTTTTCAGTTGAAGCAACCTCAGAGGCAGGAATATTGGGTTGTGTAAAAATCCAACAAAAATTGCTTCAAAACTGGCGGTTAGTGAACGGAGCTGCTCTTTACGTAAATTAAGTAAAGGTGTTGGCAATGGAGGACAGTAGAAGCATTAGTAGCAGGAGATTTTTACAAATGAGAATATATATGTAGATAGAATCTGAATTGATATGGTTGGATCGTCTCATTATAACTTTGCATCTTGCATCTTTATGAGTTGATTTCAATTCCTTCTATGACAAGAAAAAATGGTGTTCACATATATTTGTTTTATATATGTATGTCGGTGGGAAGAACAAGAAACAGTGACATCTTTGATGCTCTTGGAGATAGACCCACTTGTGGTCAGATGGAACCACACCGCGTGTTTGACAAATTCGGATCTGCTGCTCCTAACCAGCAGGACCTATTCGGAGTTGGGACCGGTGGTCGTAGAGCTGTTAATGGGTTGGATCCATACGACACAACTGAACCTATCCAATCGATTGTATATAGGTTCTGATTCTGAGTTGCTTTGCAGTTATAACGGGTCATACGACTGATTCTTTCTGTTTCGAACCGATTAAGTCCCCCACTGCGATTTGGGATTTGTTAAGTTAAAGATAAATAATAGAAATATGTGAGAATATATAAATGTTTTATATAATAGATAATAATTATTTATATTTTATATATTATTTTTAATATTTTTTTACAATATAAAAATAATAATAATTATTTTTAGATAAGGTTGTTTATCAAATTTAGGAATCGCAAGTTTTTCTATTTTCTCGATCCCCGTGGAAATCTGTCCCAAATGGGGTGAGGATGGGGATGCTTTTTCTCCCATGGGGACAGAGATGGGGAAATTTTCATCCCCGTTGGAGGGAACAGGGAGAGCATTCCTTGCCCCGCATGGACCTCGATCCCTGCTAATATATGTGTATATATGCATATGCGTTTATATGTATATATGTGCACATATGTTTATATCTTAATATTTTTAAAAATATCATTGAATATGTTTGAATCTTCTCTAATAGAATTGTAAATTTTAATTATTTTATTTTTATTTTTTAAATAAAATAAAAAATAAAAACATAATGGTAGATATTATAAAGAATCACAGGGAGTAGGGATTCCTGCAGGGATGGGGATAACTTTGTCCCTGTTAGCAAGGATTTGGACAGGGATGTGGATGGGGAGAGGCTCCTCATCCCTGCCCCACCCCATTGCTATTTCAAATCAAGCTAATGAAACTGACAAACCCGATTTCTAGTATTTTCGGTCGGCTTTGGTTCAACAATTTCCCAACCCGACTAGGTTGGATCAGTGATCAATGAGCTGATCTTTTGAACAATAGGTATATATATTAATATTATATTTTAAATGTACTTTTTAATACAGGAAAGTGGAAAAAATTCAATATTTTTATAGTTTATACCATAAATTAAATTTTTAATTTTAATTTTTTAAATTTAAATCTTTTGAACTTACCGACTAAACCGAAAATTGACCTAAACTGATATAACCTGAGTGGCCAATCCCCCAACCTGGTTAGGTCGATTTAGTTGAGGAAACAATATACAATTAAGCCGAGCCAACCCATGAACAATAGTTTAATCTCCAATAATTATTAAAAATTTGTAGCAAAAATATACAATAAATTAAATTTAAAGTTAAATAACAATAGTTTAAACTTCAATAATTATTGAAAATTTTTTATTAAATAACAAAACAAAAATAGATTTATATATAATTATTGAAAATATATTTATCACAAAAATAATAAATAATTACTAAAACACAATATATATTAATTTTAGTATAAATAAATACAATAAGTATATAATAATTACTGATCAAAACCCTTGAAATACAGATAGCATAGATTTTGACAACAGTATTATTTATTGCCATTTTTATTAAGATTATATTATCACAAAGAAATTTCAATATAATGAGATGTAATGAATTCATTGGGATTTTCTTCTCACACCTACTTCACAACGACATTCCATCGTGTACTGGGAAATTCTACGGGAGATGTTCTTAATATATGGCCATCACATGCTGTGAGTGAGGTTGGTGTGAAGAGCAGATCCGGACTCAAATTTAATTGGGTCAGACCCGGTTATTCTAATTAATAACTGATTTGGTTCAAGATTTATTTTATATTTTTATAAAACCAAATAATAATTGATTCCAAAGTGACACATCCTGTTTCAAACCAAACCCATCCATTGACAGCTCTAGGGGAATCGTAGTCGCAAGATCTGCTAACTAGGGATTGGGGGAATCGGGTTTAAAAACCAAGGTTGTATTAATGTATATGCATGCATGAAAAGGCAAAAACTAGGAAAGAATAAAGCTTTAATATTCTGGAGAGGCAACTTGTGGTTGTGGTGCCTGCCCGCCAGAATATAGTGCTCTGGTCCACCCTAAGACGCCAAAGCTTGCCTTCTAGAATCTGCTGGAGAATGGAAATATTGAATGACAACGGTATGCAACCGTCGATGCGCGTCACGTGGACGACTTTAGGTCCAACATCTCTCATTTGTTAAGTTTGGAATTCTCTCAATATATTTCCTTTTCTCTTCGTTGTTAAGCAAACCTGTCAAAAATATGTTCGGGTTTTATTTTGAAAACATAAAAACAAAAATGGAAATCCTTTAATCCATGATAGAGAAGAAAGGAAGGATATTGTCAAAATTATACGGCTCCAAACAGCTCGTAGACTGCGGATTTCAGAGTTCCAGACGACCCCCGGCCCAATCAATCTGTCATCTGACTAGAGAAGCGAACCTTCTGGATTAATCCATCCCAGTCTATGGTGTTCTGGTTTCGATTCCCTTCTACGTGCTGCCGTTTCTCTTTAATCATTCAACCAAAGCGTGAAAAATATATAAAGATAAGTATGAGACCCATGACCATTGTTTCTGTATTTATAGCAGAGCTGTCAATGGCTTGGGCCTGACTCATGGATCCGAATCAATTGGATCGATTCTATCTATATTGATGGGTTTGATTTGGTTTTTAATCCATTATCACAATTATTATCGATTCGGAATTAGTTTTTTTTAATCTTTAACTGATTTACACCTGATCCAAGCCTTGTGAGTTATGTTTGATGAAAAATACAAAAGCTTATATCCTCTATCAGTCGGCCATTTTTTGAATTTAGAGTTATTCCCCACGTAAGACTACTTCACACCAACCTCACGATATATAAGCATGGGAGATGTTTTTGTACGGGAAACACCTCTTTTAAATGACAATATATAATTATGGAAGATGCTTCTGATCTGCAACTGCAAGCATGATTCAAAGTATCGATACGTGTATTGATATTTAAATACACACGGAATTAACTTTTTTTTTGTTTTTTTTTCAAAGTTTGGTTTTTGGGGAATTAAAAGAGGGTGGGGTTCCAAAACACCTGTATCAGGACCCAAAAGATATGATACGTTATGCCCAATACGGGGCGTTCGTCTCAATTTTTTTAACCTTTGCTGCAAGTGTGGTGCATATGGTGTGAAAAGCAAATCCAGACTGTAATTTTTTGGTTTATGCCTCTTTATAACAAATTAAGAGTGTCTCAAAGCAGCTGAATGAACTTAACTAAGGCCCCATTTGGTGCATCTTCCTATGCAGGTTATTGGCTTTTTAGAAGTCCAGCATCTCACATCTTTTACTCTTTATTTGGTTGGAAAAAAGATCTTTTTACAGAAAAGACACAAAAAGCTCCATTTGAGCTTATTTCAAAAGGCTAAAAATGAAGTTTTTCGTCTTCTTTCATCTGCTTAAGTCTATGGACTGCCAAAATCTTTATATAAAAATTCATTTAATTTTTTAATTGTCAGATCTTTTAAAAAAAGAAAACTTGCCAAACGGCACCTGAATGTAGAGCTCAACCCTCCCAAATGAGCACTGAATAACTTATCCGTAACACTTCAAAACAGATGAACCAACTAAATCCTCATCCCAACTCTCCCAAACGGGCCTAAATCCAGCCACGCGACTTGGTCCTATTTTGAGTTAGATTTGCAAATTTTCAGAACCGTATGTGATGAATTGATGACCGATTGTATCTGAATCAATGGGCCCCATAAAAGAGATTTCCTGCATCTGAAAAAAATCAGTTTTAGACTTTCGGCCGAGTCCGAGGCCCAAACCGTTTTCGTGTTTCATGTTTCATGTACTATCCAAATAAGTGGTAATCAATGTATTGATGAGGCCGTTTGTACTTGTACCAGCAGTAGATCGTCATCGTGGTGCTTCAAGCATGTTCTGTCTCAACTAGATATATATGAGGCAGGAATCTCTATCTTTGATCTGATGATCACTGACATAACTGATGAGTGAATAGTCACGAATAAAAAGGCATCCTACGATAATACACTGACGAGAATGTCTCAAAAACCGAAAATAATACCAATGCCAATCGGTCGGACCATCAATCGATTCCTTGGCCAGATCTGAGATATGGGCTTGGGTTTTCCCAAAAGGATTTAGCATCTTAAAAGAATCTGATATGAATTCGGGAACTTGAATCAGAATATAATTGGGTTGGGTCCATTGGATCTTGATCCATGTGTAAACTCTTAAAAGCCAATCCTTGACCATCAATAAATGGACCGACTATTAGATTAGCAACGTTATGGGTCAGTTTGGAAGGAATACAAATATTTAACATGATAAAACTTTAAATAGTTAAAATAACGAAATTATGTAATAAATTAAAAAAAAATTAAGTTGAAAAATAATTATAATAGAATTCATAATATTCATATTAATAATAATTTAATATTTTACAAAATTAATAACAAATTATGTAATAATAGTACAATTAAAATTTTTTGGGTTATTAAATTCAATAGATAGTTAATATTTTAAGAATTAAAATAGCAATATTATTTCAATAACTAAATAATATTGTAAATAACTATTTTCACTTATATCAATTAATAATTATAGAAAATAACTATCAACAAAATTATATTCATTAGTAATAATTTTACAATAATAGTGTATACTCATTGTATATTTATATATACTATTATTAATATTTATTTTATTTTCAGTAATTATTTATTGTGCTTTCAATATTTATTTATAAATGTATTTTTATTTTTTATTTAATATAAAATTATCATTAATTATTGGAGATTAAACAACTATTATTTAACTTTTGAAAGTTAATTTATCGTATTTATTGTATTTTTGTTATAAAATTATTTTTAGTAATTATATATTTTTTATAATTTATAGATTAATACTTAT